GTGTTCATGTCATTTTACTTTGACGGTCCTTTGTCTCATGTCTGTATCTCTAGCCTTGTCTCCCCTTAGTCTCGTCAAGTGTGATTAGTCTCAGCTGTGCTCTCCTTCTGTGTCCCATTCCCTCGTTATCCCTTAGTGTATTTTAGCCCTGTGTTTCTCTCTGTCAGTGTCGCGGCATCCCCTCATGCTGTGTGGGTTTCTAATCTTGTGCTCCCTAAGCTTGCTGTCTCTAGTTTCCCAGTGTGTTGTGATTGGTTCAATGTTTCTAGGTTTTGGTTTGGTTGTGTAAGTATTTTTTTGTGTAAGTTATGCCACTGCAATAAAGCAGCCTCCTTCAGTTCATCCCCGTGTTTTGAGTTCTGCTTTTGGGTCCTTCCGCCTGCCTGCCACAGCCGTTTCATGACATAAGACTATATGCCCAGTTAATAAATGGTGAAGTGATAGTTATTTTACTTTTTTATAAACAATGATTTTAAATAGTAACAAAAATATCTTACCTTAGTTTTTTGTCAATACGTTATGTCAAAAGGACTTATACATTATATAAATGTAACCAAATACACAAAATATTTTACTGTATTTCCTAAAGCAATTTATATTTTTAAAAACATTCTCCACTTGCCCCTTGCAAGCGGTGTATGCTTCACACTTGGGTCCTCTACCAGAGGCCTGGGAGCTTGAGGGCCCTGCGCAGTATCTTAGCTGTTCCTAGGACTGCACTCTTCTGGACAGAGATCTCCGATGTTATTCCTGGGATCTGCTGGAGCCACTCGGCTACCTTGGGAGTCCTAGGTCCTAGGAGGCCTAGTGCTCCAATTACCACTGAGACCACTGTTGTCTTCACCCTCCACATCTCTCAAGCTCTTCTGTGAGCCCTCGATACCTTGCCATCTTCTCGTGTTCCTTCTTCCAGATGTTGCTGTCATTCAGTATCGGTATGTCTATCACTACAGTCATCTTCCTCTGCTCTCTACTACCACTATGTCTGGTTGGTTAGCCATGACCATTTTCTCCATCTGAATCCCACAGGATCTCAGCTCGGTCATTTTCGACCACCCTAGGGGGTGTCTCCCATTTTGACCTCAGCACTTCTAGGCCATATTCGGCACAGATGTTTCTGTATACTACGCTGGCCACCTGGTTATGACGTTCCATGTATGCCCTGCCTGCTAGCATCTTGCACCCTGCTGTTATGTGCTGGATTGTCTCAGAGGCATCTTTACACAGCCTGCACCTGGGGTCTTGCTGTGATAGATCCCGGCCTTTACAGATCTTGTGCTCAGAGCAAGGTACCTGATCATGGACAGGGCATAGGTGTTGGTAGCCCGGATCTTGTTCTTCCCATTCAGCTGATTCTTAAGGACTTGCCTGACCCAGCTAGGTACCTCTGCAGGTACTTAGTCATTGCAGCTTTCCTAGTAGCCTCTTTGTGGTTGGCATTTGCCTGTGGAATTCCCAGGTACTTGTAGCTGTTCTCGATGTCTGCAATGTTGCCTTCTGGCAGTGCGCTCTTTGTTATTATCCGATTACACACCTCTTGTCCAAATGACATTCCGATGTCATTGCGGTATATCCTGGTGGTGTGGATTAGTGAATTAATGTCTCATTCACTCTTGGCATACAGCTTGATGTCATCCATGTAGAGAAGGTGGCTGACAATTGCTTCATTCTGTATGTAGTTGGTATCCATAGCCAGTCTTTTCAGTAATCTCACTGAGGGGGTTCAGGCCTATGCAGAACAGTAATGGGAACAGAGCATCTTCTTGTTAAATCCCGCACTTGCTGGTGACTTGTGCTATTGGCTTGAAGTTGGCCTCTTGTGTTGTACGCCACATCCCCATTGAGTTCCTGATGAAAGCTCTTAAGGTCCTGTTGGTCTTTTACAATTGTAGACATTCCAGGGCATTAAGTCATAGGCCTTTTTGTAATCAATCCAGGCAGTGGACAGACTGGTCAGTCTGGCCTTGCAGTCTTGGGCGACTGTTCTGTCTATCAGGAGCTAGTATTTCGCTCCTCTGGTATTCTTGTCAATTCCTTTGTGTGCCCTTTCATATATTGAGCCATGTGCCTATTCATCTTAGCCGCTATGATACCCGACAGGAGCTTGACTGTTCAGCCTTCAGTTAGCCATTCTGATTCATCAACTAGTAGTTGGTTCATTTACATGTTTAAAGCACAATTTTTATTGTTTTCTTTTTAAGAAGCCAAGCTGCCCTCATGACACACAAGCAAAAGCTACTGAGCTAAAGCTAAAGTTGAAATTGAAATTTATATTTACTTTATATTCTTTTTTTCTGTTCACACATTTTTTTTTCTTGAGTAAAGATCCATTAATTTTTCTCCTTTCTTTGTAATGTCATTCAGTGTCCTTTCTAATAGTGTCTCCATGTCTGCTTACATTTAAATCTGGAAAGCAAATGTCTTTTTATCATTAGCAAAAAGTATTTTTACTGTTTTTTTGTGGTGATAACCATACAAATGAAAGGTTTTGTTTTTCTTATTTCTTCACAGAATCACTTCATTGAAGGCTGTGTAGAGCAGTCACTGCTGTGCATCTCCATGTATGGTAGTTAACGCGTCAATGAACTCAAATTGTCCATTGCAAACTGAAGCACTGTGATCAGGAAAGGAACTGTCCTTTTTCCCTTGTCAACTTGAGTCAACAAATTGATTTTTACAGTGTACACAGGAACCCATCTAGGGTTCAGAGATAAGAAGTCAATTGGAATAAGAAAAACGCGGAAACCCTAAACAGATCTGAATAGAAAAGAACCCACATTGCAGGAAATCCAAAACGTGATTTGCAAAACCAAAGCCTTAGCTTCCAGCTCCAAGTTTAATACCGTATAAAATGTTTATAAATAGGAAATGGTTTCTTCATAATCACTCAATTTAGGACAATCTCCCTGCTTAGAATGTAATTCTAAGATTTAGAATGTAAAATATTTTTTCCTGTGCTCACAATAAGGCACCCTTATGATGCAAAAGTACTGTATTTATTTATCCATCTAGAAAGTCTGTAATAATTAGCCAACTGTTGGTTTAGGTGAACCAACCAGATGAACTAGATTCCAGTCAACAGCAAGAGTTCGTAGATGATGTAAACCATAGCCATCACAGGCACTCGGATAAGCATGTCCTTAAGGTTAGGAAAATCAAGAATATTGTATCTTTTCAGTTCTTAAATACCGAAGTTCTTGAACAGTCCTAAATTAGGACAAAAAAATCCCCCAAACAACAACAACAACAAACTGCTTCAGAGAACTTTGAGTTTCTCCGACTTGCTAAGTTTGTCTACATTGTGTCTCAACATCCACTTGAAGTAAGTAGTCTGTGTCTTTCATCTGCTATGAAAGAATTTCCGTCCTTCCATCATCTTTTCTGACCCATCCAATTCAATACTGCCTATCCCAAATATCACAGGGTGAACTGTGACACCTTGGACATGTCTGTAATTTATCACAACACAGAGACAGACAACCATTATGCTCACATTCACATCTATGGTCAATTTGGAATTGCGAGTTAACCTAAACCCATACATATTTTGGAATGTGGGAAAATTCTGGTTAAGCTGAGAGTTTAAAAAATGAACATTTAACAGTATAGCCCAAAAACCCTCTTTTGTCTGATCATTTCCTAATAACATTTAAATTTAGAATAATGGGCTATGCAGTGGGGGATACATTTCATCATAGTAGATGTCTTTAAGAAAGTGCTATAACTAGGTGTAAGGATATAATTCCTTCACTATTATTTTCTTCAATGCCATGCGACAGCATAGTGCAGAGTAGCTACATGAACTCTACTCCCACAGAGGTTGATTATCTTATTTTACTTCTTCACTGTGCATAACTCTGGATACTGTGGAAAGCAGATAACTTGTAAGAGGAAATGGCATCACACTAATTCGAAAATCTTCATTTTGCCTGGTAAATAGTTTGTTGCTCACTTAAAAAAAGCCGTCTGTAAAGCTAAAACATTTTGAAAGAAAAAAAATGACCCCCGGTTCCTCTTCAGTACTGTTAACATGCTGACAAAAAGTCACAGGTGTGTTGGGCCAAGCATTCTTTTAACCTTAACTCATACATTTCTTCACAAATAAAATTTTAATGATTAGACAATTACTCATCTCAAAGCTATAACATTATGTAAAGCTACTTTCAATACCATTTACATTTATTTAGACTCTTTCTCTCCAATTGATGTTTATGAGTTAACTTCAATAATTGCTTCCTCTAAACCACCAGTGTGTCTTTTAGACCCCATTCCTACAAGACTGCTCAACTAACTCCTATCATTAATTAATGCTTCAGTCTTAAATATGATCAAACTATCTCTATTACAGTTTTTTTCAATCGCTAACAAGCGCCTACCCATACTTCAGATACTTTTTCTAAACTCTTAACACAGACTCACACCTACAAAACACAATTGGCCAAATGGATAATTTTCTTCTCAAAAATACATTTTGTTAAATATATACTACCTCTTCATTTCAAAATAGAACACATCTTTCTCTGCACACACTAGCTGTACAAAAACACTATAAATCTGACTCAAAATGAAATTAGTCTGTCAAAGAATAACACTTGTTTTCACTTCCCAAGGTACATGCAGTCAATCAAAGTACACCAGGTTTCAAAATACTGGCTATTATTGACATTACAAAAACTGCATAGACCTTTATGATTCAGTTTTACAGGTATTTGCATGCGAAACATGCAATCCACCATTTTGACACCAGAAATGTCTTGTTTGGTAACTGTATGTCCACATGTACAGTAATGTTCACATTCAAAAGCATTCCAGTAAAAAGCAAACAAGTTTTCTGTTTCTTTACTGTTTACTACAGGAGGTACAGTAGAAACACGGTATGATAGGACAGAGAAAGTTCTACAGTATTGCTTACAGTGAACAAAATATCCATGAAACACACAAGCGCATTCTGAACAAAAAAACAACAGCAAAAGCCAAGATAAAAGGGGGGGAGGGGGAGGGGGGCTAAAAAAAGGCAAAAAATTTGCATCTAATCCCTGCGATCTTCAGGGTTAGGACACATGTTTTCATCAACATCACATCTGATGTTATCCAAGTCGATGCACCTGGGATAAAACCGCATGGTATGTCGGATCCACCCTTGGCAATCGTCAACTGTGATGTCCCTGGAGCCAGCATCCATGGCTTCAAGGAGGGACATCTGGTCATATGGCTGATGGTCATAAACCTTCCACCTCCATGCAGAAAAGAACTCCTCTATGGGGTTGAGGAAAGGTGAATAGGGTGGAAGGAAGAGACTTACCAGTCTTGGGTGGACTTCAAACCATGTTGTTATTGCTTGCGAGTGATGGAAAGCCACATTGTCCCAGGTAATTACAAAGGTCCTCATGTTTTCACCCTCCTGACCCTGCTCTGGAACCAGGCACTGGTGGAGATCATTGAGAAAGGCAAGCAAGCGCTCTGTATTATAGGGTCCAACCTGACATCTGTGAAGGAGTAATCCTGCATTTGCAATTGCTGCACACATGGTAATGTTTGCCCCTCTCTGTCCTGGCACATCAACTGTGGCCCTTTTTCCAATTACATTTCGTCCACGTCGACGCCTTTTGGCCAGATTGAATCCTGCCTCATCGATGTATATGAATTCATGAGGGGCATGGTTGGCCTCCAATTCCATAACTCTCTGAAACAAAGTTTATGTAAGTCATGTTATTACTGTATACCATACTGTACTGTAACCTAGTATTGTGTAGGTTACCTACTTGCAAAGTGCAAAGCTTATAGAACTGGACATTGGATTGAATATACACTATACCTGGACATATTGTCGTCGTAGCTCCTTGACCCTCTCACTGTTCCTCTCAAAGGGAACAGTGTAGAGCTGCTTCATCCGCACTCTGTGTTTGGACAATGTCCGCGAAATGGTTGTGAGGCTGATTCTATCGATATTGTCAAATATCTCATGGTCCGCCACAATTCTAGTTTGAATTTCACGCAGTTTTATTGCATTATTTGCAGTAACCATTTCTACAATGGCAAGCTCCTGATCATTACTGAGGAGCTTTCCTCTTCCCCCAGAGGGTGGAAGATGTTGCATTCTTTAGAAAGACAAAAAATTCAACATATGCATTACTGTATGACCATATTGACATGTCAAGTGAGAATAGAAACAATCCATGTAAAATGCAATACTTACCTGTTGGTTTGTTGAAAGATGCGTATAATGGAGGCAACCGTTGACCGCCTCAAATTGGGCTGCACTCTTTCACCAGCCTCTCTTAGTGAAAGACCATGGTTGATTACATGGTCAACGATAGTGGCACGAATTTCATCACTGACTACTGTTCTTGCAGCCCTTGGAATGCCACCACCACGCATTCTTACACCTCTACCTTGCCCTCTCCTTGGGCCTGCTCTTCTCCCTGGGCCCCTTGCTCCTACTCTTCCTCGACCAGACAATACAGTGTTTGTCTTTTTTTTGTTTCCAAAAACATCACTCCTCAAGGTCTTGCCTTATAAACCCCACTGACTCTAAGCCAGAATGGAAGAAGCTGTGGTTGGCCCAATTTACCCAACATAAATCAGCTGTGTGTCAATTATTCAATTGTTTGTTTATTATCAGCTGAGATATATTTTTGATATTGATATTGTTTTTGTACTGATATCATTGCAGAAGGAGAGGTTTTTATACTGTATCTAAGGTTTGGAATATTGTTTTTGCTATTGTGGGATGTTGTGTGTTAACATTCGTAGATACTACAGAAACAGTCCATAATTTTGTTGGGAGGTATAGCTTGTCTGTTAAGAAAATGTAAGCATTGTGGAAATGTGTTCACTGACTGCATATTGGGTGAACACGACATGAAATGTGTGAATGGTATGGCCACAACAGACCAATGCTGTGCTAATTGTGTTTAGAGTTTTGCAAATGTGACAACTGTTTGGACAAACGCTTGTTAGCGACTGAAAAAAACTGTAATTGGCTGTAATGAAGGTTACAAATGATACTCTTATGGCCTCTGACAGTGAAGTTATCTCTGTGCTTGTCCTGCTTGACCTCAGCGCGTTCGACACTGTTAACCATAATATTTTATTACAGCAATTAGGGCATGCTGTAGGTATTACAGGTACTGTGCTGCAGTTATTTGAATCATATCTATCTAATAGATTCCAATTTGTTCATATAAAAGAAAAGTTCTTTTCACATAAGTTAATTATGGAGTTCCACAGGGTTATGTGCTAGGACCGATTCTGTTTACATTATTCGTGATTTCCTTAGACAGGCTCATTTGAAGGCATAGCATACATTTTCATGCAGATGATACCCAAATTTGTCTATCCATGAAGCCAGATAACGCATACTAATTAGTTAAACTGCAGGGAAGACATAAAGACCTGGGTGAAGTCTAATTTCCTGCTTTTAAATTCAGATAAAACTGAGGTTATTGTCCTAAACATCTGACTGTCGGAAATATAATATCTAACCAGATATTTAGTCTAGGTAGTATTACTTTGGCCTCCAGGAATACTGTGAGAACTCTTTGACAATTTGACAGTCTCAGTTCATGAGTATAAGGAAAAGGAATGCCAGGCATGGGTGTTTACTGCAAAAGACTGCTGCAGAAGTTTTCAACATGTTGGTTGCTGTCATGGGCCTGGATGAAAGCACCAAGAAAGAGTTAGGATGGAAAGAAGTAGCCTAGAAGTGCATTTTATTGTACAATATATATTTCGTTTTTTGGGAAATAAAACCACAGTGATGATGTAGAGGTCTCAAAAGCTCACAAAACCCATGTTTCAAATATCATACACTTTAGGTTACATAAATAGGGGTTGAAACAATCTGTAAAAGTTGGGTACCACCCTGTAAGAAACTGTACACTAAGGTATTTTTTAAAAAAATTTTTTAACTGTAAATCTGATTGTCTAAAAAACAAAGCAAGCCATTAAACTATAAAGTCTGGGTAACTACTGTCCATTGCTGCAATGATATAAATGCCTATCTTAATTACCCTCAATTAAGATGATAAAAGGGGATGTTTCACCTTTGGACTTAATTCGTAGAAACAGTATCCTCTTCGATGATTGCTGTTGAATCCTGCAAAGAAATTTACTGCTAAATTTTTCCCTCATTACACACTATAATTGGCGATGGTTAAAAACCATGGATAGATTAATGTCATTACAATCATAGGTATAAAATTGTAGTAACTCAAAATGTTTTCCTTTGTTTTTCTTTTTCAGTTTAAATGAAGATTGACTGACATGGTTTTCACACCCAGAAACAAAAACATATCTTGATGTCCTTTCTCTTAACACAGTCTAGCTATCAAGTGCTTTAACTGCTGTGCAATCACAAGGATGTTTATGTTCTTTACTCCCTTACCTGCAATAGAATCATGTGCTCAACCACATGGTGATGTGCCTTGGCCTTTGATCACTGGGTGGCTCTGGAACAGCAGTCACATTTTAAGCCATGCTCTTGGTCCTACTAAAAATAATTAACTAAGTCACTCCAGAAAAAAAAGAAGGACAGACTGCATGAGAAATCATCCTCTAACTAGAAAACACCTAATTGAAAAGCAGTGCACAATGTCATGAATAAAAGAAGCATGGGGGGGACAAAATGTGCATAAGGGAGAATGGAAAGGGTGATGGTTAATGGCATTTGCTTAAGTAGCATAGAAAGCAATAACCTACTTGAGCTTAGTTCCTAATTAGTATATTATTTTAATTTAAGATATGGAAATACTTAACCTATGAATGAAGCTCTGCTTCTTGTAATTGTTGCGTATTTTAAAGAATTTGTCTACAAAGAGAAAGCACTCACATGTATAGTGCACTACCATGTACATACTACACATGCGAGTCATTTTTTCCAATGTACCAAAGATAAAGTAAGGGCTTTATTGTAAGAAGTAAAAATTGTAATTGTAATAGCTAAAAATTACTATACAATGTGTTATTACAATCTTAAACTGGTTCTCGTTTGGAGACTCTGTGAAATCTTCAATATTCATGTGGAAATGTGATGAAGTCATAGCTTGGTTCAAGACCTTCCATTATGCTACAATGGCGATTGGATGCTTGGCTGATTATAAATCACCTTGGAAACACACAGTGATGCAAAATCCATAATGTGAACATCATGGTTAGAACCATATTTAAGCATTCAGGAGCACTGCTACAATTGCCTGTTAGCATGCGTTTTGCATTTATTTACCAATTAAAAATGCATTTGGTATGGATTTGAAAGTACTATGCAAAGCTGCAGTGTTCCTGTAAACAGATTATGGTCCCAGGGGACAGTGTGGTATTGAATGACTAAATAGGCCTACTATGATTTATGATAATACAAAAGAAAAACAGGGTGCCTAACCTTAGTCCCTCAACTTCATTGGGGGTTTGGAATAATATACTGCCAGTATTTCTTCAATTCACATTAAACCTAACTGTAATCTTTCATTATGGCAATTTTTTCTGAAGCTATTTCACATGTTTTGCATACACTATCCAATATGGTAAATTTAATGCAACCACTTGAGAGTGCCATTTCAATAGAGGAACTTACACTCTACTCATTGAGAGTGTGCCTAACACACAAACAGAGACACACATAAAAAGCAAAATAATGCAAGTTTTTTTTTCTTTTCTTTAAAGGAATATAAGAATCACTCTACACCTCAGCGGGCTCAGATTTCCCAGTTTTAGTGCACACGCCATCAGCATGAGCTACACAGCCCATGTTAAACAGTAAGTGGATGTGAGTGCTCCATGAGTGGGAGAGGTGTTCGTTAAGGCTTCTTTCATTTCAACTGACGGGTTGAATGCTCCTTAGAGCAAGGGGAGATTTGGGGCTTCACAATATGTGACAGAAGAGATTACAGCAGTAATCCAGCCTGCTCACCGGGGAATCATCTTGTTCTTATTAACTGGTTCACATTCACAGTTAATTAAGAAATCTCTTAATTTACACCTTTTTGATTTACGTAGTTTCTGTATTCAGCAGAGCAATTGGACTAAATATCTTTTATTCCATGGCTAAGCTATGTTTCATTCTAAGGCCGAGCTATTATCCTTTTAGCTGTGGGTTTGATAGACTTTGGAATAAGTAGTCATGTAGTTTTGTATTACAATAGACCTATCCAGCAGTACACGTAATTACAAGGGTTCCTGGCTAAGTCAAAGGTTCTTTACCCCATAGCCTCATTAGGCAGTGTTACAATAAAACGTTAGCCAAAATGTTTCAATGAGATATTCATATGTCAGATTTGAGGCCACATTTTGCTGATACGTTTCTTTTGGCCATTGTGGCCTTCCATCCACAAAGAGCCTGTCTTAAGTGTTTGAACTGATGACACTGGCCCTACTGTCTATGGTGGTTGGGAGATGCCTGGCAACAGTCCAGATATATCAATAATTTATGATGCTAGACAAAAGTATTTAAGCTTACAAATTAAAGGAAGGGAATGTTCTCTGAAAATTGATATGAAGAATGATTTATGGTAGGGTGAAACATTTCTTTTCTTATCAGTGCAGTTTCTTCTAATATGGTGATGCCATGGGACTTCCATGGGGCAAAAATGATCATATACTATAGAGGGTTTTTTATTAGCTTTCAACACAGGTGAACATCAATGCAAGAATTTGCAGATGTGTTAGACAGTGCTTTCCTTCACCATCACCAAAATATTACATTAAAGAATATCATTAAAGGATCATGTTTAATTCTCAGTAGAGCTCCAGAGACAAATTGTGTGAAACACAGTGAAGCTTTTCTAACAGTAGATGGTGGTTTTTCCTTTAATCTGTCATCCCTGCTTATGAACTGTCTACTGAAAGGCAGCTACACGCTGCAATATCGTGATTGTAATGGGGTGTTTCCTCGTGCTG